GGGGGCGGCCCCCCCCCGCCGTGCCGAGTCGGAGAGGTGTGCACCATTTCCTTCCGCCGTGCAGTGTAGTGTCGTGAAAGTCATTACACACATAGACATACACGTGTAGTTTTCGTTGGATGCCGCGCGATTGCGCGCGCGTGCCTCCGCCGTTTTTTTTAGGTCGGACACACGAGGCAGAGCACACACAATAAAGAGGCAACACCGCGGCCGGCGAAGTATGATTAATTGCCTATATATACGGAGTAGACTAAATCAAACAGCAGAATTATACGGAGTAGACTAAATCAAACAGCAGTACTGAATCTGTCCTTGCTTTTGGCGAAAAAAGCAACAAGTCACACCCTGCCCGCGCATGTGCGTATCCGTCGGCAATCATCCCCACTATTCTCCTATCATATTGAAGTATTGACTCTCCAACAGAGGACGAAAGTAGGCGAATTACATCGTACACGTATAATTTAGTCAATGTTTCATGATATCGGAGTGGCTGTTTTGTGCCCCTCCAGGCTGCAGCCCGTCCATCGCGTGATGTCCGTGAGCCGGCCTATCGCCCTACCGCTGTAGCCATCACCCTGTTCCGCCCACCCGGACCGCACCGCCACCTTTTTTTGCGCAAGGCAAGCAAGCGGGGGGTACGGGAGGCCGTCAAGTCAGAGCCGAGGGGAAAATCATAGAAAAGTACATACATCCGGCGAAGGCGAACGCGGGAGAGTAGCGATCCAAGGTCCTGTACCCACCAATTTATTCGAACTCACCTCTCTCGGCTCTGACATGCCCGACGTGCTCAGACGAAAGTGTCTTGGTTGATGGAGTGATGGCACTCATTCAAAAGGTACTTGTCATACCCGGTGGTACCCGGCGTAGCCTGGCGGAATCTGTGGCGCCAAGCACCAGCCCCACGACCCGACCCTTCCCCGCCCGTCACTACCCCACAAACGTGAGAGCTGCCAGTTTCACCTTCGCCGCTCAGCGAGCATGCGTGGTAGAGGTGCACCGGCCAATAGATGGCAGATACCGGGTACACCGCCGGACGGCCGCGGGCTCGAACGTTCAGCGTCGGATGCCCGGTGATAGAATCGGGGACGCGGTCGTTGGCGTGAGCAACCCCAGTGTACTCGTAACCGAGCACCCTCCACATGAGCGGTGGTGGGTTCCCACCCATCAAAGGCCGATTGCCCTTGTGCCGGAAGAAGTACAGAACCTTCACCAGGGTTAGATCTGTAGGATCCGCACGGCCCGCCGCGGGCATCGGGGGAAGTTGCTTGTACACCTCTACGTTGTCCCCTCCGCCACTCCCGAGAGCCCACTCGTCACGCGGCCCAGCCTGCGCCGCCGACTTCACATCGCCGCCCTTCAAGCGACCAAGGCCACAACTTGCTACCATGGGTGCCCGGATGTACCGGGAGCAGTCGATGGAAGCTTGTTGAAGGGTGTCTCCGTCCCAGCAATTCGGGCAGCGGCTGCTTGAGCACGGACCCGCCATGCCGCATCCGTAGTACGTCTGGTATGCGCGCAGTAAGGTCTGTTCGTCTGGGCGGAACTTGCTGGACACCAGGTGAGGACGCCAGTCGCCATCTAGCTGCTGCTCGTCCCCGTTGTTGAACAGAGAAGCGGTCCGAACCGCAGATCCCGGGTACTGTCCGCTAAGCTGTGCTGGCGTCTGAACCGCCTAGGCGTGAATGTCTGTGGGCAAGCGGTCATGGCCGAGGAAGCTCGCCAGCGACTGCATGAGCCGGACACAGCCATCACCAGGTCGAACGGTGACGATCTC